CTCTCTCTCTCTCTCTCTCTCTACAGTACCAGGCAAGAAGAGAGCGGACGCTCCCCCGTAGCGCGTGCACGCGCACCTGCGGGTCCTCCGAGGACTTTTCGTTTCCATCAGGTGCTTAGCCCAACCCGGCTCGGCTATACCCAGCGCGGTGCATACCCTCACAACCCCAGATTTTATAGCCCCTGTTCCCAAGCAACATAATTAAGCACAAAAGCGTAATCCCCACGGGGGATGCACTGCACTGTGGCCACGACATGAACTGCAAGCAATGCTCTGTGAAACCTGGGCTGCCTGGACACAATGACCGTAAACGCGCTCACAAGACCAAGACATGCCTCGCCCTCTCTCTCTCTTACCAACTCACGCCGCGGGTTCTTCTTTGTCTTTATCTCATGACCTAAACTCTTCTGGAATGCACCTGCAACTGCAGCTTGTAATGGCTGGGTGCGGCTTAGAAGCGTTCTCGGCCAAAGTGAAGAGGCAGGGAAGGCCCGTCCGGATCCGCTGCACTGTGCAACTCTACGTGGAGGTGCCTGCAGAGAGACGAGTTTAAAATATCTACTTTTCGTAGGATCACACATCTTAGTAGCGGTGGTCACTATTGCTAGGCGAGCCACATTGCTTTAAGCCCCATCTTTACATACCCGGAACTGCACTGGGCGGAGCATACGACTCCATGTGCCGTTGAAGTCATGCTGCGGTTCTGGCGCGAAGCCAATGTCGCCAGATTCGCATAGAACTTGTCCACGCCTAACATGGTCGCCGACCTGTGTGTCAACCCGCATGTGCTTGTGTTTGCCTTGCTACGAAAGTTAAACACGCCAGCCCTGACTGTCTGCGCTCAAACTGCGTGTCACCACGATGCAGCGACTCCCGATCAGGTCCCGATCCAAGCACTCAAGAAGCCTGAACACGCGCTGTGTCTGCAAGGATGTGGAGGTAATCCACGATGATGCCAGATTCCAACATGACCTCTGGTTGAGCGAGTAGCACAAACCACACGTAGATCATGAGATGCGGCACTGTCCCGGCTGAGAACAAGAACCGCTGAAGTCAACAACTCGGTCCGGTCACTTGCACGCAGGCACAACCATATGCACAATGGTAGATCCTTGTTGCGACTAGACACAGAAACCGAGTTCCACTTTGCGAGG